GAGCTGGCGCCAGTCGCTATTCCAGCAATTGTTGTCGCTTGCCCTTTTCAACAACTTTTGGAGAATGACCCGGCGCCTCGCCGGACCCACCTTTCCTGACACACCACAGCATCCGCGCCGAACGATATTGTACCTTGGGCCGCTGAAGTCGTATAGTGTCGATCTACATCGTTTCTCAAGCTCGATATCGATTTTCTCGCATTGCACGATATCTATATAGCCATTCTTTCTAATTCTCCATTTGCCCCGTGTTTAATCCATCGATTCATATTCAGTTCTTTTTGCGGATTTTTTAGTTCTGCGAAGGCGCGTGAATGAAAGCAGTCTATTAGGTGCAAACAGTGGTACTGGTTTGTGATGGCTGTATCACTACTAACGAGGAGATGATCTTTAGGACCACGGGGCGTCGCGCGCGGCAATCTGCGAACCCTGCGTGCTGGCAGTAGAGCGCTCACTCGATGAACTGCGTTATGAATTAGATTGTATTCGCTCGAGTTTTCAGCCATATTGTTCACTCTGATGAGACCTGGATTGCCATGGCCGTTAGATTTCGTTTTATTTGCATAACTAGAGTCACAATGCTTTTTGGAAGGCATACTGTCAAAGTCTGTAGTTATTGTAATATTGTTGATGTACGACACACTGTCCTTTTTAAAAAATAACAACGAAAAGTCACTTTCAGGTTAAGAAAACCATCGCGCTTGAGCGCCGATTGTAACCATACGGTACTTGCAATTGTTACGCGCGACGCCGCGTGGTCCTACCGTCACATACCCACGGTACCCAGTAGCAGTAAGCTAGATTCTTTCAGATATTTCATGACTATTGCAATGCGTTGGATTATCTCGGTCATGCTGCTCCCACTGACGAAAGTCGACATGCGTTCGGAGCATATCGTTGCTTTGGCTGCCTTGGTTACAGAAACGGATCTGCTGCAGGAATTCGGAGCTGACAAGGTTGATTTGCCTTTTTTCATTTGATTCTATTAAATAGAAGCTTATTTCATTCCAGGGCGACACTTTTCTGGCCTCATTGATCTCTGAAGATCCAGACTTCCGCCTTGTTTACGTAAATGTTTTGAGTTGAACGATTGCTTATATTTTCGTACTTTCTCCCTTATCAGGTACTGTGGCGCTGGTGCCTCAGTGGTGCTAGTGAGTCGAAAGGTTTTGGAGAACTTGCCTTACCAAATTAATGATATCCAAGAGCTCTCCGGATTACCCAGGTAATTTGTTTTACACGCGTATTTTTCAATTCCTTATACTGATTGAGGTGGTGTTCGTAGGACCTACATCAATCGAACAGTGAATGGGAAGAAAGTAGGACCTGATCCGGATTCAATGCTTTCGGCTCCTGAAGATCCTAATTTCGAGAAACTCGTTCGTGTGGTATTCAGCCTTCTTCGATGTGGACGCTTTGAAGAAGTTGGTGAATTGAAGATGGGTATCAGATATAAGGCGCTGTTCGGCTTAAGGGGAGGGGGTGGTTGCTAGCTCGTTAGTTTCCACGATTTTTTTCTTCTCATCTGGGTGAGACTTGTAAACTCTTGTTAAATCGACAAATTATCTTTAGTGTGTATGGTCGAATTAGCCTAACATGAGTTTACCTCAAAAAGTACTCTGTTCGAGGTTTACTGAGTAGCATTTCGTAGCTTTCTAGGAGCTTGCAAGTCCCAACGTCGATGAAAACTAGTATAAGCTCCTTCTCAGGCGAACAGCGCCAATAATCTGATCCTTTTTTCCCTTATCTTGTATTTGGAACTAATTTTGTTTATCATTGCCATGTTACAATGAGCGTTTTCTTGGTTTTCGTTGAGTTTTATCCACAGGCATTACTCAGAGGCAAGGGGCATGATGTAGTGGAGGCGAGGAGTGGATGTGGCCGAAAGCACTTCTTCAGCCCTTGCACAAATAACGCTACCAACAACCGCTCTCCTCCAGCAATCGTGTCCACTGCCGTTGAAGTTTAAGACTGTACATCCTTCGTGGCTCTCGCAGAGAAACGCACCATGCTGGTAGCGTCGCCAGTGTGCCGTACACATCGAATCCCACTTTCAGCGTGGAAGTACTGTAGTATGTCAGGTGAAATAGCTAAGAAATACTCTGCTAGTTAAGCATTGCCACAGCGTGGGTGTAAAATCCCTTTATCGGGTAGTGTTGCTCTGGCAGGATTGAAAAACTGACGATTCGACGTTCTAGGACAAGAATTCGCTCCTTTCAAAATGTGGAATATAGGATCGTCCTGTTCTCCCATCGCAAACAGGAACGCTGCCTAAGAAGTTTTTATTGTAGCAGCTAATCCAGACATCTGAATGGCTTGAGAATCGGTACGGGTTAGCGGGTTACGACAACGTTGTATAATTGCTAATTTCAGGCAATGATACTAGGCGGTGATATGCACGTACCTTGGTTGATTCCACTGATTCGATCTCAGCAGTTACTCGTCGATTCAAGTTTAATTAGTGCTGAACTCACAAAACAGGAACGAGCTCGTTTTCACTTCAGAAAACTGTTTTTCCAAACAATGGTTAAGGCAATATCTGAGGTGAGCTGGACTTTTCATTGGTGTGATTCACAAACCAAAACCATCTTTGCTATCTATGATTTTTGTCGAGACGTCCCATCGATTTTCCAAAATACATCATGCTCTGAGCTTCACTTAAAGCTGTTTAGTGATAGGCGAAGAGGATTACTATCCGTGGACAAAATATTCTGAAGCTGTTCGGCGACGAGGGGGCTTTTTGCACTTTTGCTACTTCTCATCGACGTGGTTAGCCATCAAGAGGTTACCTGTAAAGTCTTGTGAAAGCACGAAATGATACCAGCCGAGGTATGCAGAGGCCACCTGTGCCCTCCTCTCCCCCTTGCCAAACAGCGCCAAACATCTTTTCTATCTCGAGCGTAAGACTGGATCCCAGGACGGCATCTTAGCTTTACTCGTGGGAAGAAGATAAGAATGCTACTATGGGAGTGAATGAGGTGCTACTGGAGCTTGGTGGAGTGCTGCGAGCGAGGCCATGTGCTGACTCTGGTCGTCTGCCCTCTTTCAAGGCCCAGCCTGGGAGAGGGAGGGATGACTACTTTCGAGAAGTGTAGGGCCATTTGCCCCTTTTGCGAGCGAGGTGTTCTCAGATTGTATTTTATCTGAAATTAGCTCCTAGGTCGTACCAATGTCGTACTTTTAAAAAAGCGCAGTTGGCTTGGAAGTGGCAGTTTGTACCTGCGCCAATTGCTATCGCTACTTCACGTTAACCAACAGGTTTTACTTTGGTGGGACTAGAGAACCCATGTGAGGTTGCGAAATAGTACAAGAGCGCCACTTTGGTTCCAAAAATTCTCAGGACTCCACGAGTTCCAAAAATTCTCAGGACTCCACGAGTGGCGTGGAAAGGCTTCGCCGGGTTCCATTTGGTGCCTCACTAAGCCGAACTGTGCCGAAGAAAGTGTTTCTAGCAGCATTCTATCTCCGGATGGATTTCCTTCTTTGTGGAAGTAACAGGAACACTCTTCAGACCAAATACACGATGGGAATTCGAATGGTGTTCGCAGCACTTGCGGGAGACTGGCAATTCCTTCTCCCTCTGGCTGTCAATGTGGATGATCGTCTTTGGTGCTATGCTAATGCTGCCGTACAAGCGAGGTAATTTTGAATTCTTCAATGAGGCTGCGTTCATACTTTGCAGCAGCGTCTACCAGCGATCCACTAGCGTTCTGAGCGTCTGGCAGCGTCAGCGACTAGGAAAGTATAGATATCGATCTAGCGTCTGCCAGCGTCCGCCAGCGTCTCGAGGCCGAAGGGTATAGGTATCGATGAGGCGTCTGCCAGCGTCTACCAGCGAACGGGAGTAGAGAGGGGGAAGTAGGAGGGTAGCAAGCAGCTGGATTAGGCGTCGTGAAATTGCGGGTGTGCAACCGCATCGTACAGCTGCTAAAGCACAGAATCATGCAGTCCTAATGTACGGTGTAATATAGTTGTACGGTGCGATTGCACACGCCGCAGTTTACGACGCCTAATCCACCTGTTTGCTCTTTCCTACTTCCGCATACTCTCTACTCTCAGTCGCCGGTGGAAGCTGGTAGACGCTGGCAGACGCTAGATCTATGTCTACACTTTCCTCACTGATTGAGGCTCGCAACGCTGGTGGACGCTGGGTGACGCTAGTGGACACTAACGCAAAGTATGAACGCAGACTAATTGCGTACAACTCATTATCCCACTCTGAGAAGTCGTTGTCTCAGACTTAATGCTGCTCTTGGAATCGAACATCCAATTTTTGCTCCCACCACAGTTCAAGGGATATTTGAAGCAATAGCAACGGTACGCGCTTTATTTTCAAGCCCTTATTTACGGTAATACTAGTTTCAGTCGGTGGAACGTGCCATATATGTGCTAATGAGCTACTTGATGAAGGTGATGGAAGAAAGCGTGGATGGATTATTATATAGTGGATATTGAAAAGAAACAAGGAGCCAAAGTGCAGTCACTATTCCGTTTCTTTGGTCTTGTCACAAGTGTGTGCTGTATTCTAAAGAATGAGCATGATGTAAGTTGTTGAGGTTCCATTCAAATGACGCTCGCATCGTACATAATTCGTCACTCTTGGGTGGAGATTTTAGGAGAGTCATGGCAAGAATCTCATTGGGCGTATGATTGAAGTGATGAGGCAGAAACAGGCCTTCAGCTTGATTCCATTTTACGCTGCGTTGCTGCCGAAGGATGACGGTCTGAGACGAATCTGGAATGTAATGCCAGGTGAGGATTAGATATTTTTCATTTTCTGGGTAGGGTTGCGTTCATGCTTTGCGTCAGCCCCAGCAGAACCACCGATGTTTCGAGCGAACGTCAGTGCTAGGAAAGTATGGGGTGGATCTAGCGAACGCCAGCGTCCAGCACCGCCCAGGAATGAAAAGTATGACAAAGTAGGTAGGTGACAGACAACTGGATTTGGCGTCATGGAATTTCGGCATGTGCAACCGCATCGCCCAACTGCACTACACCAAACATCAGCTGTAATTCTGTGCTTCCGCAGTTGCACGGTGCGGTTGTACACCGCCTAATCCAGGTGTCTGCTAACCTCCTAGTTCCCCATACTCTCCACTCCCGGAAGCTCCTGTACGTTGGCAAACGCAGGTGGACGTTGGCGGACGCTGGTAGAGGCTGGCATTCGTTAGGTCGATATCTATACTCTCCCAGTCGCAGACGCAGTGTATGAACGGAGCCTTAGGCAGCGTTCAGACTTCGCGACGGCAGCGCTTCGGTCGCGCATTCGGCGCGATCGATGCGCATGCTTTCAACTGCATCGATCGCGTCGAACGCGCGACCGAAGCGCTGCCGTCGCGAAGTCTGAACGCTGCCTTAGGCCGCTTTCGTTCCTCGTGACCCAGTCAGAGAAGACACTGTTATTTGACATCTTGATTACGAATATGATATTCATTTTTGGCGCGAGCGCCAAGTAAGGCACGACCGTCCGCACTCTACTAACCAAGGCTCAATATGATGAGTTAGGTGTAACTCCTCTCACACGATCAGCCTTAGCAGTGCACTATATGGCGCTTGGGTCAAAAATGAGTTCCATAATCATGATGAGGGCATTAGACAACCCTCTTCTGCGAGTTTCCATCGATTTTGGTAAAAAAAGTGGTAGCGCACAACTGGCGCCGACGTCAGAGACGGATGTGAAATTCATGATCAGAACACCATAGAACTCTAGCATGCAAGTTTACACGAAATCTTGGCGCAGAATTGGTGGCTAATGCCAGCGCTAGAAACATCACGGCCCCCGGGCCCGCTACCACACCAACCCCCCCCACCCCCCACCACCCCGGCCCACCTCGACGAGCTTGCTTCCGGATTCATAAGGCTGTGTTTATAGTTTGCTGCGGCGCTTCCAGCGTTTCACTAGCGTTTCGCTAGCGTTTGCAGCGGCGGGGCTAGAGAGTATAGAAGAGTAGGAGAGTACAGAATACTCTCCTACGCTAGAGAGTATAGAAGAGTAGGAGAGTACAAAATGCTCTCCTACGCTAGAGAGTATCGAAGAGTAGGAGAGTATTTTGTACTCTCCTACTCTTCTACACTCTCTAGCCCTGCCGCTGCAAGCGCTAGCGAAACGCTAGTGAAACGCTCGTGAAACGCTGGTAGCGCTAGATCGATACCTATACATCCCGTGCCCTCGCTACGCTGGCGTACGCTAGCGTAACGCTAGCGTACGCTAGCGTACGCTGGTGGCGCTGGGAACGCTAGATCGATATCTATCCTTTCCCCGACACTGCCGCTGGCGTACGCTGGAAGCGCTACGCTACGCTGCCGCAAAGTATAAACGCAGCCTAAAAGCTCGCGGTTTTATCAGTGTGAGGCCTGTAAGCCGGAAATGAAACAGCGGATTTGCAAAACTCCCCCCCCCCCCCGTCGTCGAACTGCACCGAGCGTGTTCCAGTTGTGCATGCTTTTCCGCGCAATCGTAGCAGTCCTGCTTTTATCAGAATCAGTAGTAGAGTTTAGGAGCTCGCACAGAATAAAGGTTTACCACGTTAAAACGCACTGTAATGTTATAGTTTTCACCGCCCACTGTACTGTTACAGTAATATTTGAGATGTGAAAAGTGATGGCGACCGCATAGCCTTTATTGCTGCCCTGAATGATGCTGGTTTTGATGGCGAAGAAATCGCTTATCAATGTGGCAGATTCCGCATTGTGGTGAGCTTGCCATCCTTTACCGTGAAGAGTTTTGAATAATGAATATGAATATTGAATTTAAACCGTTAAGGAAATGGTTGATCACGCTGATCTTTTACGTTGGATATTTGCATGCGGCGACAAGAAGTTGTTGGAGGCCATCACTGAAGCGAATAGTGTTTTGCGTCACTATTTTTGTAAGTTTCCACTGAAACTGGAGGGCTCCAAGCCAAATGGCACTGTTGAAAGTAGTACCTTGTATTCCGCAGTGAGTGACATGGAAGATGACGCGAGCGCTCTGATCAGTAAATGCGAGCAGTTGAAGTTGGTGGATCGCCTTGGCGCATTGGTCAAGAATGAAAATGACGATGAAAGCGCAGATTGGGGAACGATGGCTGGTATCGCAATTGACGAGTTCAACTGCCACTGTTTGTACTTGGTAGGTAGTATCTGTACTCTAGTTGGCTCAAGTGTAGTATAGGGCCAAGCGCTGATAACCATGTGGGAGGAGCACTCGTGTACTTTTTCAGTGTGTCTTTGTCTTTCTTTTTTTTCTTCTCAATCGTTTCGTAATCGTGTTTCACCCTGGAGCACTGTCTTCCTGTCAATAAATTGGTGGCTTACTGAATGCGATGTGGCCTACAATGACTTGCGGTGGCCAGCCGATGTACAAGTCAGTGTTTTATCCTCCCAGACGAATCTGGTACCAATTTACCGTCCCCGGAGGGTAGAAGGCTTGGTTGGCCTGGGCGGGAGTCGACCCGGGATTTGAACCCGGCGCCGCGCGAGTGGTAAGCGCGCCACTTGTCACTACACCACCTCCGCCTCCTGCACGAAATATGATGCTCTAATTAAAAGAGTAACGCAAACTGAGGAAACTCGCGCCCTTTGCCGCAGGGGCGAAGCGGCAATTCACGATTCTATTGCTCGTTTCCCCAAGCAACCGGCTTCGACCCATGCCGTCTACGGCTGCGTCCGCGTCTGTGGAATTGGAGCGCTGTTGAAATGTGACGCGTCAATACGCGTTACAGCGCGTTGTCGCCTAGTCTTAATGCTACTTTACACGTCTATCCCCTCCCATCCGAAATTATTAGCGCCCAGGTTCATTACCTAGTAAGTGTCGGGAATTTAAAGTCACAAGACAGGAGTAAAGGGGTCATATAACACGTCAACTAGTAGTAAACTTATATTGTATCCCGTCAAAGACCTTTCTAAACACGTCAGTACTATCTCTTAACAAGTAATGTACATGACTGTTTACCTGTAATACGTAAGCGCTCTGTACATTTTTCAGGGTGTCCCTTATTTGTGGGACCAGAAGTCATTCTCTCCGAAAACCGGCTTATATATGTGTTTTCAGACAGCGCAAACCCACTCTACGAATTTTGCCATGGAATGTGCAAGAGCGCTTGAAGCAAAGCGTAGGAAAGCGGAAGATGAACGTGAATGTAATGAATGGTCTCGTCAAGGCGATTTAGTGGGTCTTTCACAACGTACAGCTCGCGCTGAACATAACCAGACACTCGTTGAGCGCTCCAAACTAGCTCTGGATGCGTGCAAAGCGGTAAGTGGTTTCGTAGTTCAGGAAACTTAATTGTTTAACCGTTATGCTCCCTTTTTAGCGAACTTTTGATGCTATCTTAGCGTTTGTTCGACATCCCGGCTGGAGGACGGAGACCAAAGGGGTGAGTGCTAATGAAACTTGGTCTATAGCTATTTGTGGGTGTCTTACATTCTGATCCCCGTGGAATTAGGGTATGAGGCTAGGGATGTAGGTCAAGGTTGTTGGGGACGGACGAC